ACCGTCCACGGTCGATTCCACCCGCGAGTCCTCCGAGTCTTCGCTGGGCAGCGTCTGGGCCCTCAGCGCCGCCATGCGGGACGCAGCACTTCTCCTGAGCTGCCTGCGGATTTTCCTGGGCCTCAGGGGCAGGACCAGCACCGACCCGCTGTGTGACTGTGGCTGGCGCCGGCGTCTCAGCCGCCCGCGCCTCAGCAAACCCGCACTAGCCCGGAGCCCGTCCATGGTCGAACTCTCCTCCGAGCCGGGAGCCAGCGAGAGGAAGGCGCACGCTGGGTTGGTCGCCGCCGCGGTGTACTGTGGGAAGGGGGCGGGCCTCCAGCCCCCTCGTTGGCCACGCCCACTATTCCACTCAGCGCCTTCTGGTCACTGTATGAACCTTCATTTATTTTTACAATTCTATAATACAACAACACTATGTTGCATTGTGTATTCACCACGCCAAGTAAAATCCCCTTCCTTCTCCATTTATTCCCCCTTACACTCTTCTACCTTCCCCCACCCCTTTTTCCCTCTCGTCTGGTAATCACCATATGGTTGTCAGGAGGATTTCCTTTTTGTTTTTTTGGTTTTTTTGCTTGATCCCGCCACCCTTTTCACCCAGTCTCCCAACCCCGAACGCCCCTCCCCTCTGACAGCTATCAGTCTGTTCTCTGTCTCTACGAGTCTATTTCTATTTTGTTCATCAGATTCCACATATAAGTGAAATCATATACTTGTTTTTCTCTGGCTTGCTTATTTCACTTAGCAAAGCAGTACTTTCATTGAAATGCGTGGCTTCACACTAGAACCGAGGAATCTCTGCCAAATTAACAGGGATTTCATATTTAGAGGGCAATTGTTTTAAGTATTTGTGTTTTTTTTGTTTTTGTAATCCTCACCGGAGGATATTTTTTCCATTGATTTTTATTTTTTTAGAGAGTGGAGGGAAGGGAGGGGAAAAGAAACACCAATGTAAGAGAGACAAATCCATTGGTTGCCTCCTGGTTTGATTGCCTTCTGCACACTCCCTGACAGGGGCTGGGGACTAGCCCGCAACCCAGGTACCTGCCCTTGACGAATCGAAGAAGCCCCCAGACCCGTTGGTCTGTGGGTAGATGCTCAGAGCTAGAGGACAATTTATTTACTTATTTATAATTATTTTATTTTTTTATTGATTTAGAAAGGGAGGAAGAGAAGGAGAGAGAAACATCAATGTGAGAACTACATGGATCGGTTGCCTCTTGAACCTGCTGGGGATCATACCCATAACCTATGCATGTGCCCTGACCAGGAATTAGCCCGAGACTTTCTGGTGCATGGGACAATGCTCCTACCAACTGAGCCACTCCGACCAGGGCTAGAGGGCAATTTAAAAATCAAGTTGCTAGGGACTTCAGTAGAAAGAAAGTTGACTACGTAACTCCTTATTCTTTCTAGTCTCTGCATATTGCATGTCCCAGGAGTCCTCATTTCTGAACAGCATCTTCCAGAGCAGTTTTTCACAGAAAGTGAATAAATCTTGTTTTCAAGAAATATCCTCAGGCAAGCTTTGAGATTTTTGTTTAAACCTTGGGTGGTTCTGGTCTTTACTCTGCAGGTGATGTGATTAATTGAAGCCCTCTGTAAATTCCTCCACCCAACTTCTCTTTGCACTTTCTCCATTACAAATTCTCCTGGTTGTTGCCTTCTCTCTGAAAAAGGAGTTACGACTTGCATTCTTCTTTTTTTCTTTTTAAATATATTTTTTATTGACTTAGAGAGAGAGGAAGGGAAAGGGAAAGAGAAACATCAATGAGAGAGAAACATCTATGGGCTGCCTCCTGCACGCCCCCTACTGGGGATGGAGCCCCAACAGGGGCCATGCCCTGGCAGGGAATCCAAAGGCCACCTCTTGGTACAAGAAACAAGGCTCAATCAACTGAACCACACTGGCCAGCGCTCTATTTGCATTCTTGTTATCTGCCCTTCCCACCTGCTTTGGGATTTTGTTTCATTAGCTACGGCTTCTCTCTCCAGAATCCTCAATCTCATCTCTGAATCTTATATTAACCTCTTTTTAAAAAATTCTTTATTGTTTAAAGTATTACATAAGTCTCCTTTTCCCCCCATTGACCTCTCCCCAGCCGCTCCCACCCCCCAGCTCATGCCCTCACCCTCCTACTGTCTGTGTCCATTGGTTATGCTCATATGCATGCATCCAAGTCCTTTGTTGATCTCTTATCCCCATGCCCCCTGCCTTCTCTCATAGGTCGGACAGTCTGTTCTATGCTTCTATGACTCTGGTTCTATTTTTGTTCATCAGTTTATGTTGATCTATATCCCACATATGAGTGATATCATGTGATATTTATCTTTCTCTGACTGGCTTATTTTGCTTAGCATAATGCTCTCCAGTTCCATCCATGCTTTTGCAAATGGTAAGAATGTCTTCTTTTTTTACAGCAGCGTAATATTCCATTGTGTAGATGTACCACAGTTTTCTAATCTACTCATCTGCTGATGGCACTTAGGCTGTTTCCAAATCTTAGCTATTGTAAATTGTGCTGCTATGAACATA